ACACACACACACACACACACATATAGAATTGGTTAATTTGAGGGCTTTTGAGGATGAAGTGTTTGAGCTTGGATTTGGTAAAGCTGCCAATGGAACTTAAAATTAGTTAACATATTTTCTGAATCCATGACAATCATAGATGTATGCATATACCAGAATGTGGCCTTGTCAATCTACTTATCGAAGAATGCTTTAATGTGCATGTTTAAGGTTCTCCTAAAGGAAAATCACAAGGAGGGAAGCAACCAGTCAAGAAATCACCTGCCGACTCTATAGACACATCACCTCCTCCAGTAATAACATCATTGCTTAAGCCAGGATCTGAAGAATGGGTCTATGTGAATGAACCAATTCCTGAGGTATGGCACACATTAGTAGAATCCATTCTCTTTCCTGTTCATAGTAAATTTCACACCATTATTTGCAAGGACCAGAAGGCAGATCATAGCTGGTAATATATACACACATCAAAATAGCCAAGATAATTTTGTTAAAGACTACTCATTGAACCACGTGTCATACTTTCTCCTACTCACTTGAGTTTCTGAGTCATGTTAAAATTGAGGGAACAAATAGGTTCCGTGAGAATCAATTTTCCTCGAGGACAAGCAGAGATACAGTTTCCTGGAAGAGCCAGTTCCCCAGAACACATACCCAGCAAATTACAGCCCTCCATCCATGTTCTTATCCCCACATCATAATGCTTTTAAATGAAGTTTAACCTCTGATTTTTTAGAAATAGGAGAATTAAAAAAAAAAACAAAAAAAAAACCTAAAACTAAACCCACAGAAGACAGACAACTACTTTCAATGGTTAGTCTAGTGTAAGGCAAGGAACTCCCCAGGTGAGCCCTCAAAGTTCCATCTAGTTCTCTGTTGCTCTGATAATTGAAAAGCCCATTTAATGCCTAGGCAGGTCTGGTTGATTTAATAGAAAAGTACTTTTGGGGAAAAAAAAATCACACAGAACTATATCTTCCTTTAAAGTTTATAAAATACCCCATCCCTATCTTTTTCATGCCAGTCCCCCTTGATCTCTTAGGAGCTCAACACTGACCATCTGAGACCCAAAAGTGAATTTAGGCAATTGAGGTGTTGGCATTGCTCTTGAGCTTTCCTGGGGCATATGTCTTACCTCCTCCACTACATTCTAAACTCTGTGGGAGGGTAGGGACAACATGGAAAAATTAACTTTATTCAACACCGAACACAGTGCAGAGCATGTCCCTAATTAATTAATTAATTATCCATGAGGGTAATATTAGAACAGAAAATATTTAAAGATGAGCAAGTTAAATAGTTATGATGAATGAATACAAGTGACAATCTCAGCCAAAAAGAGACTACTCTTTCAAATAAATATACTGAAAAACTGTCACAAAAGCAGGATACAGAAGTGGTTATTGGCAATGAGATGAAATGGTATTACTTGGCAGGAGGTAAGGAGTGAAGGGCAAACAAATAACAAAATCTAATCCTTAATGCCAGCATTTGAAGCTCTTGAGAAAAATAAATCCATCAAGGACAAGAAGGAGATGAGTGAAAATAAGTAAATAAACATCACCACTAAGATATGGCACACTAGTTCTGAGGTAGATCATCTAGCAGTCAGGATCCCAGCAGAAAACAAGGTAATTTGAGGAGAGCTAAATAAAAGACTGTTGTTGTTGTTATATGCCATCGAGTCAGACCTGACTTATAGCGACCCCTCCTTGGGTTTCCACAGCAGTATCACTATGAAAGCAGATTGCCCAACCTTCCTTCTGAGGAGTGGCTGATGGATTTGAACCACCAGCCTTCTAGTTAGCAGTCAAGTGCCTTAGGCACTACGCTACTAGAATTCCTGAATAAAGGACTATACAAAGGTATTGTGCTGTGGTAGTTAAGGTTATGTGTCAACTTGGTTGAACCTGGTGCTGAGTGTCTGGGCAGCTGGTGGTAGTTATTCTCCATAATGAGACTGGCAATTAACTACATGGTGGAATCTGCCTCAAGCAGCTGAGTAGCTGCTTTAGGGATGTGGTCTGTTTTATGCATATAAGGAGAACCTTTGGAAATGGTCTACATTTTTTGCTTGAATCCTGCATGTAGCCAAGTAGTTATTCAGCAGCCTGCCATGCTCTGCCAATCTTGGGACTTTTAATGGACTTGAATCAATGGTCTGCCATGTGGGTTAGTAATATAAGGACTGTGCCTTTTTAGTTGTCAACCTTGGGTTTGTCAGCCTCAGCAGCTAACAGCTGCTTAAGTGAAGAAAGCCTCCAGCTCCAGAGGTCCCAGGAGCAAGAGGTAGAGCTGAAGCTCAAGGTCAAGGGGCTTTGTCCAGACCATAGAGCCTGGCACTCTGAACTTGGACTTCTAGCCTCCCAAACTGTAACTTTATTTAAATAAATAAATGTTTAAACTTTAATAAAGCCCCAGGCTTACAGGTGAGGAGAGACAACTCAGGGACGCCCGAAGTAGCAAGCAGGACGAGCAGGAGAAAGGGGATTAAAACCAGGAAGCCAGAGAGAAGAGCAGTCAGCCGAAGGGATTAGGTGAGGAG